TATGTGTATAAAAAGTACTATTTGCATTTAGTTGAGTGTATAGAGATGGAGATCGGAATTATGACTACAGGAATGAGGTAGATTTAAAAAAAAATTACTTATGTGTACGAAAAGTACTTAATGGTACTAAATTTGGTGCGAGTTGAATTTAGGTGAACAGATAGAGTTGGAGTCTTCAAATTGGGAATTAAATGACTGTTGCAGTGTAGCATTGAGGTAGTTTTGGAAATTCGTACTTATTGGTACGAAAAGTGCTAAATGGTACATAATTTAGTACATTTTTGATTTTGCTTCAGAGTACTGTTGAAGATTGAGCTATAGTGACATCTTTGGAAATTCTTATTGATGTGTACGAAAAGTACTTAATTGCAATATATTTGGCACAATTTGGATTTAGATAGCTGGAAACCTAAAATTTGGAATAATGGTTGCTGTTGGAGTATAGACTTAAGTTACGGAAGCATAGTACTTATGTGTACTAAATGGTACTTTAGTTTGTACAACTTGATTATGTGTTAACGGATAGAGCTGTACTTAAGAATTTTGGAATAAAATTACTAAATGGGAAAAAGTACTGAATGTACCAAATAGTTTACAAATTGTTTTTTTATGAGCGGATAGGGAAAAAATTTTGAATTAAAATTACAGTTGGAGTACAAGATTGAGATATGTCGGTAATTTTGAAATTTCGTCTTAATGTGTATCAAATTTGGTACAATTTAGATTTAAGTGAACGGATAGACATGGAAAACTTAAAACTAGTGGAATGTTTTCAAATAAATCAAAACAATTACATTTTTACATCAAAACAATTACATTTTTTACAAAACAATTACATTTCTTCGACTTTGGTTTACCATTTGCCTGAAATGCCCATATGTCATTTCATGGCAGTTAGAATAGCACCAAATATAATTTTTTACATATGATCTCAAAATTTATTAAATTTGAATTATATTCAATTTGGTTGAAACAAAAACTGCTCAAAATCCCCAAACTACCAATGGGGCGTCCGTTTATGTGGGGCATACCCCGAAATACCGACTAGTTGAGGGGACCGTTATATACACCATTTGCAAAAACAACAATCCTATTTATTTCAAATATTTCAATCTCTATCGGGATTTCAACAGACAGTCGGACAAACATAAATCTACATAGAATTTTTCGTGATCAAGAATAATTTATGGGGTCTCCGGTAAATATTTAGATTTTTTGCAAGCGGAATAACAAATTCAAAATACACTCCACCTTGTGGTGGAGGATATAAAAATCGGTTTAAAAATTTTATTTGACAAATGTCGAATTCCAGTCTCATACTTTTGAAACCACAAAATGTATAATCCTGTATTATCATTCCCACACGAGAGAGGGGAAATTTCGCGCTGATCGCTATGAAATCCCGGTTATCGACAAGGACGAAACCTTTATTTTTGTCTGTGATGATGATCGGTCAATATATTAAGTGGGTCAAATGAGAACTTAATTCCGTACTGCATTAATTTTAAAATTTCTCTATATATATTTAACACATATGTATGTTGTAATACACTATTATGTAATGTTGAGATGTTACCTCAAATTACAATTTGGATAACATATTTTAAACCGCATTTACCACATCAAATGTACATGTACTACCCATTTGCCATGACAACTCTTGGTACATTTGTTCTCGTTCTTCTTTGCCACTTCTTTTTTCTTACTTGTTAAACTAGTGGTTATGAAAAGTGTGTTAAATGTACATATATATATATATATAATAAACTTTATTTTTTTCTTTGCGAAAACAACCCGTGTTGAAATGCATTAAAGCAAACAAGTGTGAATCCAAGAAGGAAAACAAAACAAAACTTAAAAAATTAGCAACAAACTAAACAAGGAAAGGAATTTACCCACATACCCAACAAAAAATAAAAATAAATATTATGTGCATGAATCCTTATGTTGATGATGATCATATTTTTTTAAACCCATTACCCGAAGAAGGAAAACTTATGAAATCGTTTCGTATGTTTTTTTTTTCATTCTTTTATTTTTGATGAAATTCGTCAGTCAACCAAAAAAAGACAGGCAGCCAGTCAACCAACAACCACCCCACCGACAGCCAACCATCCCGCACACAACCGAAACCAAAATCCCATACGCATTTTTGTAACCACCGCCAACAAGTAGGAAATTTTCGGGAAAAATAATAACACCATAATTCATTCACGACGACGACAACAGCAACAACAGGTTACAACTTGTTGCATGCAACATACCAAACGTGTACCATGAAACCGCCGCCAACGAACTCTGGGACTATCAACTCCTCCGAATGCAGCAACAGTTGTGGTTGTCTCTCTTCCCAAGAAGCGACAGTCGACAATTTTCAATTCGCCGCAAAATGGAAGTGTGAGGGGAAATGTCCACAAGCAGCGCATGCGCCATAACCCCTATTGGAAAATGATTATTAGTCCAACAATTCTCAATATGAAACAATTGTTGTTTATTTACTTAGGATTTCAAATAACTTTGGCTCATGGCCAGTGCCTGGCTGGTGGCTGGCTAACTGACTGCAATCAGTAACTGTCAGGGTGCATAAGTAAACACTTATTGTGAGTGAATGACAACGGACGACAATTGCTGGCTCTTCTCCCTTGGTTGGCTGGAATTCCCGGTAAACAAAACATTTGTATTGTTGTAATCGCAGATAAGAGGTAGTATTTTTCGGTAGTCAGGACCTAATACTGTTGAAGTGAAAGCTTCCGCTAGAAATGTTTTATGATCGAGTATTGTTATCGCTAGTATTAATTTTGTTATGGGAGATATAAAAAAAGAAGGGGGTAGACATGATTGAGTAATAATATTTGAATCTAATAAATATAATGTCATGATTTTGGAATGATTAGATATTTGTACATATTAAAAAGAATATAGAAATATTTTTATAGTCTCCACCGTAGTATGGGAGATCTACGAAGTCTGATAAAAACAATAGTTCTATTCTCACTATTAATATGGAGGATATATACATTTTTTCCTTCCGTTTGTAACTCACCGGAATATCCATTGCCGAACCTATTAACTATATATAGGCTGGAAAAAAGAAATCCATCATTATTATTTTTATACCCTTCACCACTCTGTGGTACAGGGTATTATGTCTTTGTGCATATGTTTGTAACAGGCAAAAGGAAACGAGATAGACACATGGTTCCTTTTGAGAATATGCATAGAATCACGTTTTAAGTCGATTTATGCATGTCCGTCCGTTCGTCTGTCTGCCCATGCTAAATTGTAAACAAAGTACAATTCGAATTGGATGAAATTTGGCACAGCTTATTTATTTGGCCCAAGAACGAACTCTATTGAAATTGAAAAATCGGTTCAGATTTAGATAGAGCTCCCATATATATTTACGTCCGATTTAAGGTAAATGGTGCACCTATATATCTTTCGATTTGCACGAAATTTGGCATAGCGTACTGAATTGAGTCTAGAATGATGTGTGTGAAGTTTCGTGAAAATCGGTTGAGATTTAGATATAGCTCCCATATATATATTCGTCCGATTTTAGGTAAAGAGTGCACCAAAGGCTCTTTATATCCTTGATTTGCACGGAATTTGGTATAGCGTACTGAATTGAATCTAGAATGGTGTTTGCAAAGAATCGTGAAAATCGGTTATGATTAAGATATAGCTCCCATATATATTTTCGTCCGATTTAATGTAAATAGTGAACCGAAGTCCCTATATATCTTTCGATTTGCACGAAATTTGGCGTAGCGTATTGAATTGAGTCTAGAATGATGTGTATTAAGTTTCGTGAAAGTCGGTTCAGATTTAGATATAGCTCCCATATATTTTCGTCCGATTTTAGGTAAATAGTGAACCAAAGTCTCTTTATATCCATCGATTTGCACGAAATTTGGCATAGCGTTCAGAATTGAGTCTAGAATGATGTATGGTAAGTCCGATTTTACAAACTCCTAATGTTTGTCCGATTAACACGAAATTTTGCACAACATATCAAATTAAGACTTGAATGACGTTATTGCGTTTTTTTTAATTGGTGCTGATTGAGATTAATTTTTTAGCAGTGCGGCGTACCGAATAGCGGATATCAATTTTGCTATAAATCGTTTTCCATAAATTTGTCCCATAGAACGCAGACGATTCTAAACACCATTCACAATTTTAGCAGCTTGGCTTGTATTTTTGCCTTTCTCAAAGAAAAACTTTAAAATGTGCAGAATTTTCTCTTTGTTCACTTCCATTTTTAACACCCCTCACGACTGAATGCATAAAACAAAGAACATCAAAATATTTTTTTTTCTACAAACGAGTATAAATCTGAAAATGATCGATTCTGTACGTGAAATCTATCAGTACAGTCATCAGCCGACTGTATTTGGTACCAACCTAATATTTGGTGGCATTACAGACTCTTGGGGCAACACAAACTTAAATCCGAAAGTAGCTAAAAATTTGATATTTAAGATATAACAAGTTCTAGTAGATTTCTTATAAAAAATGCATAAAAACTTAATATTTTTGTGCTAATTAATCCTTTAAGCTATGATCTTTTCAGCTACAATCCTTTGAGCAAAGCATTACTTGTCTTTGAATTTCAGGAAAGTTTAACTAAACTAATATATGTTATCTACCGTATAAAGCTCACATCATAAACTACACGATCTGGCAACATTATACAATTGACTGTTATAATTCTCTCTCTCGCTCTATGTCACTCAACAGTGCAAATATCACTTATTCATTATCTGACCCTTTTACCTACATTCGTCTTGCAAAGATCAAAAGAAGAAGTAGAAAGAAGAAAACACAAAATGTCAACAAAAGAAGGGGACATGCAATTGTTGGTTTGACAGTTTGTCATATTAAGAAGTAAACAAAATAATTTGGAAGACTACAATAATAATATACGAAAAAACTGGCTGTGCGGGTTGTGATAATTGAAAAGGAGTTAAAAAACTATTCATCATTCCGCTGTGACAATGCATTTACACATCACAACGATTTTGTTTATCATATTCGAACATATCAACAAAATCTTTACACAAGGCATCCCGATTAGCCCGTGTCCGAAAATGTTTCAATATCGTTTTGATGGTGCTGAATGGTTTGGCATATTGTCGGTGCGTAATCCGGATTTTGGTCAAGCTTTACATTTGCGAGTTATTCTATCGATGAGGGGTAAACCGACAACGGTAAGGAAATAGATAATTTAATGAAAGTAAATTGAAGTGTTTTAAAAACTTAGTGGTGATGGTGTTACCAAAGAATATTTTTATTAACTCAGATAATTATTTCAAAAACATGGACATTATTTAATAAACCCCCAACATTATACAAGTTGACTGTTATAATTCTCTCTCTCATTTTTCTGCAAATTTTTGTCATAGGTATCTGACCCTTTTCACGAAAATATATATCTTTCAAAGTCCATAATTCCCGAGATATGGACCTCTAAAGTTCCGAAATTCACAAAATGCTCATAACTTCGTTATTTATGAATCGGTGAAGGTAATATTGGTATGATTGTAAAGCGTACACATTATATTTCCACTTAAATTCGTCTTAATTAAAAATTATCCAAAATAGCGGGCCTTCGACCGGGGATTTAAGACTTTCTGCTATGGACAGGTGGAAAAATTGGCTACGTGATTAAAATTTTCTTTATATCAAAGTTTTTCTTATATAGCCGGCCTTCGGCCGGGTAATTAAGACTTTCTCCTATGGACAGGCGGAAAATTCGGCTACGCGAGCAACAATGTCTTTTAAATAAAAGTAGTGTAAAAACCAGTCCGTCAGCAATGTCTGTGAGACTTTCTGCTATGGACAGGTGGAAAAATTGGCTACGCGATTTTTCCTTTATATCAAAGTTTTTCATATATAGCCGGCCTTCGGCCGGGGATAAACCTCCAATGGACAGATAGAAAATGCGATAAATTTTCTTTTAAATAAACATGTTTCTCTAAATATCCGTCAATATTACCATTGTCGGCCTATAAATGTCCAAGTTATGAGCATATGAATTCCGGAACTTATTTCCATAACATGGGAAATATTTTTTCCCCCATGAATGTCATATATTTTCGTGATCAGGGAGACGAGATCTACATGTGGTAAAAATTTCAGAAAAATCGGAGATGAGCCCCTAAACTCAACTTAAGCCAAATCTACAATTGGTATGTTCCTGTACTGCAAGGATCTACCAGGTTTTCAATTTTTTTTCGATATAAAGAAAAAAGTGTTATCGTTAGTAGATTCTTGCAGTACGAAAACAGAACAGAAACCAAATGTTTATTAAGGTGTGCAATTTTTTCGAAAATACATTGGTAATATTTCTCAAATGGATAAACTACGATGTTAATTTTAATATACTTAATCACGTCCGGAAATGGTACCTACTAGTTCACTCCTCGGACCTCCCCCACAATGGGTCACAAATTTTAATATTTATAAATCCAATATCAAGCGGTTGCAATGCCCGATTTGAACCAAACTTTGCAGAATCGATTATTTTTAGCAAGACTTCCCCACAAATGATCAAAATTTTCAATATTTTTTTTTTGAACGAAATGTTGGCCAACCTATTATCTTTGCCAAACCCAGATCAAACCGAAATGCGACCCATTGGTCCACTGCTTCTGGTACCTCCCCACGAATGGCAAAAAATGTATGTATTTATAAAGGGTACAAAGGGTCAATGTTTGAACATTTTGAAATTTAATTTGAAGCGAATTGAATAACCCGTTTGTATTTCCGAAATTCGGACTTCAACCGCGTTAAATTGATACACATCCTAGAGGCCCATATATCCGAAAGTATAAATTTCCACAATTTCAAACCGGACCGGTCGGACTTGTTTCCTGTGCATATAAAGATCCCCCTTTGACTACGTAACTTGATATGTACATGTGATTTAATCCGTAAACAATGTTCACGCTACTGATGTGAGCCAATTTTCACGAAATTGCACATAGATCCGGTTATTAAATAGCTAGTAAAATGGATTAAATCAATTTATTTTCTGGTCGCTCTATAGGTCACAATGATGAACCGAACATCAAGTCCAAGGATAATGAAAATCTATCGATTTTTTGGAGGTCAAATGTACCCAAACTTGTGTGGTGTGAAAATGGCACATTATGAATATTTACTATGAAAAATACCTGTAGAAGTTCGTCGTATATCCCTAAAGGTGTGGTTGGTTTTTACATTGATAGCAATCATAGTGAGTGGTCTACTTTTGAAGAAGTTCGGTTATAGACAAGGACGACAACTATAGTTTTCGTAAATGAACGGATTATATTAGGTTGGGGGAAAAGAAATCCATTATTTTTTCGGCAGAATCGACTCACTGAAACGACTTCAATTCAATACTCTATGCAATATTTCATGTAATAGGCTCCTCCATTTGTGGGAGCTATATCTACATCTGAATCGATTTCAACAACAAAATACCGTGCATATAGGATCTATGGTGCACCATTTACATAAAATGGAACTAATGTATATATGTGAGTTATATTTAAATCTGAACTAATTTCAAACATAATAAAAATCATTATAAACTATATTCCATAACCGCTGCTAAATTTCAAGAATATAGAACAAACAGCCTTCTCGGTGCACCAATTACATAAAATCGGACGAAGCTATATATGGGCCTACATCTACACATGAACCGATTCCAACAAAACTACGCATACATCAATCAGGACCTAATTCAGTATTCTGTGCAGAATGTTGTCTTATTCGGACAAATATTGGCAGTATGGTGCTCCATTTACATAAAATCAGACGAAAATATATATGGGAGATATATCTCTACCTGAACCGATTTCAACAAAACTTCGATACATCAATCAGGACCTAATAAAGTACATTGTGCAACATTTTGTCTCAATCGGACAAATATTGGCAGTATGGTGCTCCATTTATATAAAATCGGACGAAACTACATATGGGAGCTATATCTAAATCTGAATATATTTAAAAAAAACTTCACGGACGTCAACCTTTAGTAATTTCAACATGCTATGCAAAATGTTTTTTCATTCATAAGGCCGATTTTCACCGCCTAGTTCATGCTGTATCTATGTGATAGTAACGTCTTAAAATTTGAAAGACGCCGTTAAACACTTTTGACCCTTAAGGTCAAACGAGCATATTTTTATACTCAACCCATATTGTACCCATATACACACATTATTTATCTGAACATCAACTTGTAGACCTCTACCATCTGTATGGGATTTATACAATTCACTTAAATAAAATATTAAAAAAAAAAATGTTAAAGATTTCCATTTGTCTAATTGTTAACTGTTTTTATTTGTCTATGAAGTGTTTTCTTTATAACACCTTTGTTTTTTTGTTCGCACAAAACCAGATTTCCTTTTTATACCCTACACAACTATGTTGTCAGGGTATTATAGCTTTGTGCAGCCCCAAATGTTTGTAACGCCGCGAAATATTGGTCCTAGACCCACCTTTAAGTATACCGATCGTCATATCTCGACTAGCTGAGTCATATTTTGTATTATAATTTGTAAACACGATACAGGCCACAGTTATGGACCAATCAGTTAATATTTAGGGGATGAAATGGACCAAATACTAAATTTTTGTCGGTTTTTCTGGTCGCTCCAGAGGCCACAATAATGGCCCGAACATCGTGAAATTTTGCATGGAAAAGGGGATCGGGCCAAAGAATAAGCATGCCTGTTTTGATAAAGATTGGTCAATATTTAGCGGTTCAAATGGACCCTGACTTTTGTCTTCTTTTGTATTCTATAGCGTATATATTTACCCCTGAACGACATAGACCCGAGAAGTTGATATTATATCCATGAGTGGTTGACCTTTAAACTAATACCAATTATATTGTTATATGTACTCGGATGTGGGAGTTACACCTCCGTTATTATTTAGTAACCCATTATCACTCGAGAGAGCAGAACTATAGCGATGATCGCTTTGAAATGTTTTAAGCTTCCAATTATGGTCAAGGACAACGCCTATAATTTTCGTGATGATTTAATTTTGGAACACCTTAATTTTTTATGTTATTTTCGAGTCGATATATAGACCACAAATGAAAGCCGAACATCACAACACAACCCACGGTGAAGGGAATCTTTTAAACATCCGCAGAAAATTTATCCGCAGTAGTTTGTTTATTTGGGGTTTCCACTTATATCAGTGTTTTTTATTTGGGTGTCTGTGTTTTTTTGTTCTGTCTTTCTTAATTTAGCCATTCATGTTGTTATTGTTGTTCTTGTACTTACGAAAGCATTTCTCTAGTGTAAATAAATCCAATTTTAATTTAATCCTTTTTTTATTTTATTTATTTTTCTTTCTTTCCGGTTTGTTGACCGACGACGATGGCGAATGTGACCCAACGACCGAACCGGAAACCGTAACACAATGTCCAACACATATAAAACACAGAATTATTTGGGTGAAATTGAATTGTTGACACGTGGACAATTTCTAAGTGAGGCACCGGTACTTTATAAAATCAAATTTCCGAAAAATCACTTCCCACCTAAGTTGCTGCAAATCACAACGAATAATCACGTTGTTTGTCTTGGCAGTGCAGGTAGAGTATTGATGAGCGACATACAAGATTATTCCTTACTAAAAAAATACTGAGAATTTGCAAATTTAACATTGGGTATTTAATATTGAATGATAACGTTTTTATTCTCTTTCCCTTTTGTTTTTTTCATTCATTCTTGTATGCTGCCTGATGTGTGTGTGTTACTGGTCTCCTCTGACATTGTCATGCTTCCTTTTGTTTTGTGGGCGAAATGTGTCGATTTTCTACATTTATTTTGATGCTGTCTGCCTGACTCTGTATGTCGTCGACATGGAATATTATCTGCCAAACACCAATATGGACATTATCACCATGTCACCATACCATCATCATCACCATCATCCTTGTCATCATGATGATGAACACAATGCCACTGTTGCTGTTACTGCCACTGCTGATGATGCATCCATCACAATCACTACATCTATACATCATGTATTTGTTGTTGGTGGCTACATCATTCAACATGTTGCTCTACGGATGTGTTCTATGTCACATCAATGAATGGCCAAATGTCTATGTGTATGTGTGTATGTGCAACTAACATTATCTTAAAAAACAGATCACAGTATCTTCGTGACACAAATACAATTGGAGCATACAAGGAAGTTTACATTTTTATCCGAGGAACAACAACAACAGCAGCAAGCACCCCCCATACAATCATCATCGTCCTCGTCATTATTGCCTTCGACTGCAGCATCGATAGCAACAGCAACAACTGTGGGTGGTGGTGGCGCCGTGGGCTCGGGTAGTGGAACGAATGCTGCTGCTGCCATCAGTTCGTCTATTTCAATGCTGCCGATAACAACAGGTCTTAAGGATTCGTCATTGGTGCCACCGACAAATATAGCATTTGGCACTAAACATTTGCCTCTCACTTCCAGCATGGATAAGTAAGTCTTATGGCTGAATGCCATTGTGTCACTATTGCCATCACCGACTAATGCTGGTGTGACATGACACTGAATGAAAAACACAAATAAGTTAAAAAAAACATCGTTAAGTTCGGCCGTGCCGAAACTTTTTATACCCTCCACAATAAGGCTCGTATTCAAAATATCTAAAATCATACTTTCTCTTTTATTGGGGCTATTTCATGGCATGGACTTACACTGAACTACTAAGATAATTTTTTCCACTTGAACCTACAGTTTGCGATCTTCAAAATACCAAAAAAGGAGGCTATATCAAAAACTTGATCCGCATCGAAAAATGTCTGTAAGGAAGTTTTCTACCAATTAACAAACCAGAATACCTGATTAAGTCACTTTATCCCACTAGGACTTTCAGCACATGGATAACTGTTTCCGTTTGGACTGAGGGCCCAAAAATGATATTTCATCCCGATTGGAAAATTTGAAAAAACCATATGAATACTAAAAATCGAACGGTACCTTTATATGGAGGCCAGACGGAAAACTGGACCAAATTTCTACGAAGACTTTTTCAACCCAATAACATCTCAGAATGCTAAATTAAAGTTACCTAAGGCAGACTTAAATACAAATACAAATATTTTTGAGAATAAGTCCTTTACCCACTAACAACGCAAAATATCTAATTACGGACAATTTGAATATATAGACAGTGGGAATACAATGGAAATATATAGACAGTTCTTTCAGAAAAGAAGAAAATACCGAAAATGGAAAGGGACACTAAGGGCCTGAAGCCTGATTGTCATGTCAAAAATGTAACCGATATGAAAAATCGGTGAAAAGAAACGAGGAATACGAATTTTCCGCCACTTCGGCGAGAAAATGCGACCTTATCGGACGGGACTCTGGCATGGGGCTTGGCAAAAACATGGAACCAAATTTAAATTTTGCATAGAAGACGATTTTTATTCAACAGGAACCCGAAATTCCAAGCACTTAGGTGAGAAAATATGGCTAAAATTTCAAAATAAGGAAAATAGGGCGGGACTTTGTAACGCTATAAGAACCCGGAGTACCAAATTACAGACCTAAAATGACTAAAACCTACCCGGTGAAGGAGGCTATATCAAAACATGTGAGGATATAGAAAATGTTTTCCATCTTCCCTTCACCGTCGTATTGGTAGAGGTAGCGTGTATACGCGAGGTAGGAATTCTGCCAATCGGAAGTAGCATGAATGCCTTGAGGTAGAGGAGGTTGCCTATATGCCTTGAGAAGGTAGTCCCTTTCGTACTTCCTTGCGACCTTTAGTTGCTTCTTCTTCTTGATCCAGGTGAATTGCTCCTCAGTAACAAAGTGACGTCCGATATACATTGCTTCATTGGATTGTGTACTTAAAGATGCAGGAGCTGACAGTGAGGATTCCAAAGTATATTTGGAACATCTACTCTTGGTTTCACTCCCCTATGTGACCTCAGAAGTAGCGATTTGTGGGCTTAAGTCAATGTATTGCTGTCATTTTTGGCTTGGGAGGAACCCACATCAACAACGGTCCCTGCTGATAACGGTTACATCAGTATCCTTCTCATCGTCTGAAGCGCACGCTTAGACTGAAACTGACACAATGACTGACGCATTGGTAATGTGGAGGACCTGAGGTCGACCATAGTATAGCATTTTCTGAAATATTTTTAAATTACAACCGATTCGACAGGACTGATATGAAAGCATGTACCTATATTAAAAAATATCTGCAAATATATTAATCACCCTCCAACATAACGAAATGTCACATTAAAGCCACTTCGTTAACGAATTATAGCCAAAAAGTTCCAAATACGAAAATGTGGCGGTACAGTTATACGTGGGCTCTTTCGATACGTGTACCGATATATCCCAATACCAAACCTCCTTGGAGTTGATGATATATATGTGAAATTTTTCCAAACTCTATGTTACATATTTCGATCAGGAATATATATGTAGTCGTTGGGTTCTCCCGTTAATATTTCGAGGTGTTGCGCAAACGGAATGCCAAATTTAAAATACATACACTCTACCTCATGGTGCAGGGTATAAAAAAAGAAGACGAAGTAGCGAAAGCAGAAAATCAATGCAAGCAAAAGAAATTGAAAAATTGTTACCAATTTTTGTTCCTTTTTTCATTTCGTTTCGTTTTCTAGGAATCCTTTGCGCATTTCCAAGGATATTTGTGGCACTATCGATGACCGTATACGTTTTCAAGTTATGAAAGCATTGAAACAAAAATCAGCCACCACCACCATTCTCAACTCGGCGGAGGCGGGGGCAGATGCGGCGACACGACAACCATTTAGAAATCCATTGGATAATATTCGTAGCATATTGTCAGCATTATTACAACGGCAAGACGATATTGATGAAATCCCAGCGGTTGGTCAAAGGAATGAGGTCGACAGTGGTGGTGGGGGTGGCGGTGATGATGGTCGTGGTAGAGATACTGATGAGTCTAATGACAACGAAGCCGGTGAGGACGATGATATTGACTTACCACCTTTGGTTACCACCGATATTGACGGCGAAACGGATTTCTTTGCCGACGATGAATCCGCCTCGGATACCGGTTCTCTGACCATCAATGAATTGCCGTCGATAACACGCGGTGCCTGGCCCTGGTTGGCCGCCGTCTATGTAAATAATTTAACTTCATTAGCGTATCAATGTGGTGGTACATTGATCTCGACGCGTATTGTCGTCAGTGCAGCTCATTGCTTTCAGTTATTCAAGAAACGTTACACCGCCAATGAGGTATTGGTATTTCTCGGGCGACATAATTTGAAAAATTGGAATGAAGAAGGTTCGGTTGCCGCGCCAGTGGACGATATATTTATACATCCCGATTATAATCAACATTTGAGTTCGTATGATGCCGACATTGCCGTGGTGGTGCTGAAAAATGAAGTGAGGTAAGGAATTTGAGCTATTGAGGATGAATTAGAGCTTCTAACATCGTTTATTTTCTCCAACATCTTAGATACAACACATTCATCCGACCGGCTTGTATGTGGACCGGTTCCACATCGATCGAATTCATTGAAGGTGAACCGGGAATAGTTGTCGGCTGGGGCCTGGGTAGTTTCAATACCACCAAACAAATGTCCACCACCAGTACCGTGCCAAAGATAATTAGCACCCCGGTTGTCTCCAATGAAGTCTGCTTTGCTGCCAATCCCAAATATAAAAGTCTAACATCGAATCGAACATTCTGTGCTGGTATTATGTATGATCAAATGTTGTACACCAAGTCACTGGCCTCCAAACCGTTGGTATTTAACAAACAATTACATCAGGGCCCATGCACTGGAGATTCCGGTGCTGGTCTTATGATATTTCGAAATAATCGTTGGGTTCTCAGGGGCACTGTGTCGGGATCGTTGCCCATGTTCGAGATGCAAACGAAAAGAACACAGTCACGTGCCGCTACGCGAAGTTGCAGCATAAATCAATATGTAGTCTACACGGATGTGGCGAAATTTCTCGATTGGATATTTGCTTTTGTCCTTTGATTGAAAAAAAAAGAAAAATTAAATGAACTAATGGAGTAAACTAATTGGACGTTATTGAATTGGAATTGAATATCGGAAGTAACTCCATCGATGTTTTTGCTTGCTGAAGAGGAATAGAAAAGGAAGCGTTCTATTTGTTTGTGAACGCGAATTTATACTCGTACTTTGTGTTTGTGCGTTGTTTTTTTGTGGTTGTTGTTTCGTGTATGCCATTGCTGTGCAAAAAACGCAGACATCGTTTTGATTGAATATCTTTATACCTTTTTTAAAGTACCGCTGTAAATATTTGAATTTAATTTAAGAAAAATGTGAACAAGATGAAGGAAACTTTACTACCAATAATTATTTGTTCATTGGTATTTGTTAACTGTGATAGTTTTAAATATTTGTTCAATTAATAGATAATGAACCAGAGATTATATGCAATTTCATTCGAAATAAATAAACGAAAACGAATTTGAAGAGGACTAAAAACTTGGATTTAAAATGTTTATTATAATGGAATTTGTATCATAATGTTCGGCCGAGCCGAATTTTTTATATACTGCTGAAATTATATATCGGGAATTTTATATGCAGGCATTGCCATATTAAATTGCTTCCAACACTCAGTTTGAAAAATCTCTCTATGAGCCTGAAAACAACGAAAATGATGCCGTATGGTTGAAAGACATGTCTAAAAACCTTATAAAACACACAAATGGAAATACAACCGATATTTTCGGTTTAAAGCAGGGCTGTCCACACTAATACATTCAAGTTTTGTGATTGTATATGTTTCAAATACAAAATTTTCTATGTCATATACTGTGAGAAATTTTGTAAAATATTATTTTCAAATATTAAGGAAGGAAATAATTTTATATTCGATGTAAATATGGTTGTTGATGATACATTTTCCCATATAAAGATATATATGTTTCCGTTTTGCCCTCCCGCCATAGTATTGATCAGATATTTCGACTTGTTCCGAACTAATGTTTGCCAGAAATATCCCAATTTTTTCGGTTGGTGTCATGGTACAATTATAAAAGGTAACAGCAAATCCCAGCTGATTTGATTCCAACGTAATACTAGTGTCAATATGAATTTGACAAATTATGTTTTTAAAAATCACCCAACAGGAAAATTGGGAACGCATACAATTTGAAATTGTTCTTTATTAAATGTGCTCCTGTATACAATTTACTCAATCTGCCTGCTGGGAAAGTTTGAGGAAGCAAATCTTTATTCAAGGAATAACTCGCTATTCCCAGCATTTTCATATGTGTTACACATATATATGACAATGGCTCAATTATAGGAAAGCTGTGGAAGCGATAGAAATATAAATTTGATAGATTTTCATTCATGTTTTTCAATTTTTATTTTGAGGATTCGAAAATATTTCATTTTCAAAATAAAAATAATTTGATGATAATTTGTTTATTTGTTTACATTTTTCTGTCAAATGAGTTGACACTAGTAGAACTTACAAAAACAAATTTCCATGTGGTTGTTGTATCGTTTTTTGTACAACAACACTTGCTGTTACGACCCTAATGTTTATCAAATCGATTATTCAATTAGCTTCAAATAGAATTTACATGTTTATACATATAGTATTGACTCTATTTGGGGGAGATACCAGAGGAAAAAGGCAGACGTTTCCCACTGTCGGACTTTATCTAGGCTTGGTAAAGAAAATGGGTTGTGCAAAGTTTGGTACAAATCGGACATTCCATTCGCCTGATATTGGATTTATAAATATTGAGAAAATGGGGTGGTTCAATGGGTCCCATATTCGGATTTGATCTAGGCTTGGTAAAGATAATAGGTTGTGCAAAGTTTGGTTCAAATCAAACATTGCATTCGCCTGATATTGGATTCATAAATATAATACTAAAAATGTTGACCCTTTGTGGTGGAAGTACCAGAACGAGTGAACCAATTGATCCCATCTTTGGACCTGATCTAGACTTCGTAAAGATAACGTGCCGTGCAATATTTGGTTCAAGTCGGACATTGCATTCGCCTGATATTGGTCCAAAGCCGTAGCAAAGTGTATATACCCTCATTGGCCATAATGCTGAGGATATAATAACGAAATGTTAATAAAACAGACAAAATCGGGGATAAGTTCGGCCGGCGGAAATTCTTATATCGTCCAACATGTGGTGTGATTTAAAAATTCCTTAAATCGATCGGCACATTTATATGACGATTATGTTATTGCATTATGTGTTAGGTTGGGTTAATTTAATTTATTAACCCATTGAGCCCCAATTTTTTTCCATTTGTTACCTGTGGGCAGCATTGGGCCGTAAAGGGGTAAGTATTGTAACAAAGCCAAATAGGCCATTTAATTTCAAAAAAAAACATATTTTAGGCTTTGGGAAAATAATAAAGGGCGATGTTTGGTATATAATTTAAATTAGGCTGGAGATCCACTCTGTTATTGAAAATTTGTGTTCAGTGAAGAAACACATTTTGGCATTGAAAAATTTTTCAATGAATCCGAAAAAAATATCTCAGTTTGGTGCAGTTTCGAGCATTGAACCGTATTTCCATGAAAATTCTGTGAATTGTAACATAGCTGTAAATAGTGAGCGCTACCGGCGAAATTTTGGAAAGAGATTGCCAAAAATGGGACTATGCGGATGGACATTTTAAGGCGCAGTAAGGTCAACATTTGCATGAAATAATCTTCAAACACTATTATAAATTCTAATAAATATTTCATGTATTTTATGAATAGCATGTGTTCTTTAAAAAAAAAATTATATAGCTCTTTAAAAATCACCCTTTTTCAATTACATGACTAAGTTTGGAAATTTACTGAAAATTAAGCGGTATATGTTGGGGTCATACCAAAACGAACATTTTCTGCAAATTTAGGTTTTTTGATTACTGTGGAGTCTCCGGCAAATATTTCGAGGTCTTGCAAACGTAATGACAAATTTAATAGACCTACAGTTATACCCTTCACAATAAGGTGGAGTGCATCCTGGTGAAGGGTATTCCATTTTATGTACAAATAATATCCATTTGGAATTGTTCAAGTTCGACCAACTTATTCAATCCTGTACCACACCCCAATAGTGAGCTTCTACAAAGATCACAATGAACAAGGAATTAAATATGCTATGGCAACCCTTAATGCATCTTACTCATCAATCTTTTTCAGTTTACTTCACACTTCTGTTGCATTCGGTTGACAAATTCTTTGTCCTTGGTCGCGTTTCGTGTTTTCGGGTGAATTCGGTTAAATAATAGTCCTAAAATTAGTGTGGTATTTTCTGTGATGTATATTAGAGTGCTAATTTTTAAAAAATAAAAACAATATTAACTAATAATTATCAAATTTCAAGTGCCCAAATGAAAGTGTTCTTGTTTTGCAAATAGTTTTCTTTACCCTGTTAGTGTTTTCACTGCCGACGTCTATTCATTCTCGTATTCAATCCTTTGTTTATCTTTGTTACTTTGTTTATCATCTCTCGGTGGTCGTTGTCTTCTTCTTTCTCTGCGGCGGCGTAAGCTCTCTCTATTTTCGACGAGTTAAATCCTAGATAACGAGTTTAATCCTAGATAAGAAGGTAAGTTGTTAATTTATGAATAATACTGAATTTATTTAGGAATGGGAAGACTTAATTGTTTCAAAATACGTTGTTCAGTCATTAAAACATTATTTTAACCAAACGGTTAAAGCATTTATCATTTTTGAAAGAATCGTTAATACGTTGTATCATACAAATTTAAATAGTGAAATTAGAAAGCAAAAATATTTCATGTATTACACTGTGGCACATTTTCTAACTTGAAAATCTTGAACCAATCGGGACCGCAAAAATCTGAAAGGTTATGATAGTAGAAGAAAATCCCTAGATGGAGAGAGAATTCGGGGATTTTTTTCTTAAACACTCCAAGAGCTGCCTCATCTGCTTGCGCAAGTACCGATGTTTCAAATCCATGGGTAGTATTAGAGTCTTGTAGAGTGTAAGTTTGGTATGGCGAGAGGTGGCCTTGTTTCTAAATCGGACTTCGATTTGGGGTTTTGGAATTTTAGGAAAATTTCCCTATTAAAAATTGCTGACATTTTTATTTCGGCTTACAGCAAACGCTTGGTACAATTGCCTGTATAGTCCAATTTTTGGTATTTTTGAATAAATTAAACAAAATCTATTTTCTAAAGCTGAACATTGCTCTCAAGATTTAACCATGATTGTCACAACTTATATTTATACGTTTTAGAGGTAGGGAACTTCAAAATATTTATAAGTATAAATTATTTTGCAATTTTTGCCACTAAACAACTAATATGCATACATTTCGAAGGGATATATTTTTTTATTTGAATTTTGAAATCTGAATACTGTCAAAGTCAAATTTATAAAAAATGGAAACATATGACTACATGAACATTTTATTTAAACTGTCAGTATACCTAAGGTTGTTGTCATTATTTTGCCTTACGTATTTTTGGTCCATCCAATCATGTCAATCAGTTTCAGAAGTAATGCATTATGGCTAATAAAATAGTTATTACAGTAGTTTTGACTTACATCTGAAATATCTTACATGGCTCAATGTGCACATCTGTAAAATCACCCCATAAAATGGAATCCGCGATAAACGCTTAGTACCTAAAAATGAAACAGAAGGGTTGTTGTTTTTAAAGCATATATTAGGTTGGGGAAAAAGAAATCTATTATCGACTATTAAGATTTTTAGCTCCTGGGTGATGTTACATGCCGGTCAACTTCGATCATTTCTTATCGACATTTCGACCTACCTGTGCGAGGTGCATCTTTAACGTCAACAAGTCTTGAACGGAATCTACGAAACCAAAATTGCACAATATTTTTACACTTTTAGCCGCATGGCTTGCATTTTCGCCTTTGTCAAAGAAAAACTAATTTTCTTTGTTCCTAATTTTCTCTTTGTACACTGGCAGCTATATATTATATATTACATCTGTATTTAAAACTTAACCGATTTTGAAATCAAATTTTACGAACTAA